TACAAATCCAAACTGCTCTGAAGAGCATGGTTGACAACTATCGGATAATAATGCAGAATTGGATCAATACACAATCCAATATTGAGCATAAAAATCAAGTGAAGTCATGGCACAGCATGACAGTTCAGTTCTTTCCTCCATGGTGTTTTATGATGTGTTCACCAACTGATATACAGTAATCAAACTACAGGACAATGCCAGAGTTGTTAAAATTTCCAACTACTTAACGGTTTCAATGATCAGATGCGAGATGTTTTTTTGCTAAGTCATTTCACAGTTTTCATTCACAAGATATGCCACAGGGGCACACTTCCAATGTAGCACATTTCAATAGAATACTGGAAGTTAATGAATGCAGTAGTAAATTAACTGTAATATTCATTAGGAGGAAGACTTGAATGTGCATGGAATTTGTAAGGATATTTGGAGAGTCAGTGAACTATACAAACATGTATGGCAATATAGTCTAATATCTACCAGATGAATTTTTGCAGACATTTACAGTAATATGCATGACAGTGCAGTTGATCAGCAAAGGTGATGCACATGCATGTATTTTTCTGATGAATATTCTGATTACATACTGGAAACAGCAGATTTTTTGTTACCTCGGTATTTAAGTTTCCCAAGCATGTATGCAACCAACGAGTATGATGTAGATTCCGTCAGACTTTGCGCCTAATAATTGTGTCTATTGTGACTTGTGAAAAGGGTGTGGACTAGTAAATTAGGCATTGACCATTCCCTGTAAAGGCTGTTGACAACCATGTAAGATGTTAAATACTTTTTCCCACACTCAGCTTACCTTTCAAAAATTGCGAATCACCAGTTTTTAAAAATATCCTTTTTTTCAGAGTGTTTTTAACATCAGTGAATAAACTTTTGCATTTGTGTTAAAAAAAGTGCCAGTCAATATCTAGAAACTCCTGGAGAACTGCGTCATTACGAAACAGCATTCTGATTGGTTAATACCAGGCAGGTAAAAATCTTGTAGAAAAACACGTCTTTTTATTGAGTTTGTGTCCGATTAAATACACTAACGAAGCCGATAATGAAGACTGGCTTGTCAAAGGCCCTATTAGCCTGGTAAATGGCTATGCAACTACGTAGTCAGCACAAAATTCCATGTCATCTGATTGGCTCTATCACATAAGTACATTACCGTGAAAATGCGTATGCATAGACTGACCTGCAGTGTGGCAAACTGTGGTTTGTTGCACACAAAAAATTGAAATTGAGCGAGTCATTCATTGACATTTAAACCAGTAAATTCATGCTTTAGTTTTACGATGTGTTGTGTTATCAAAACTTTTTTAGCGAAAGTTATTTTCCTCTTTTGTTATATTTTATGATTGCATCAAAAAATAGCTATTTCTAGTTCTCTGGTTGTGTCAATCAGAATCCCCTTGTTTCTGATGCGTCAATATGGCTTGAAGAATACACTGCTGACCAGTAGGGTAAAACAAGCAGACAGATGATAGATCACGATCATAGACGGCATCTAGTTTTTTTAGGGAATCTGTTGAGAATCTTGTAATGATATAATGCATGTTCAATCACGTAAATCATCACACTTTTCAGTAAAACACGAGAACAAAAATCAAAGTTTCATGTTTTAGATTGCTTTCTGGTGATATATACCACCAATGCCATTGTACACACATGTAATTTTAGCTTTTGAATATCAGTATTTTTAACACTTGCCATTATAATTATCCATTAATGAAACACGTTTCTTTTTTAAGAAACTGACCGAATAGCGAGAATAATACATATGCTGAAAGATTACGAGAATATGTAAATGTGTAGTATTCTTGCCCATATGTGTCTACCACATCCTAAACTCTTTTTAAACATTTTAGTGTTATCAGCAGTGTAATATTTACCAACTCCAATGAATATATTGCCGATTCTAATAATTCCTCCTTAGTATGATATTGATAAGTTTTCCTACAATGTACAACGAATGTAGCGATAGGTGTTAAAGACAGATTGAAAGAGTTGTATCTTCAACAGAATACGTGGCTGAACTCCATGTGCAAGATTTACGAGAAAAACCAACAGTTTAATAATAAATTACAAGTGTGAGTTGTCAATATATTCCATTGCATGTGTAGTTGTAGCTTGAACACAAATTAAATTTTGTGAAATGAAGTGTTGAGTTGCTTTCCATTAAACTGAAGTTTAGCTGTTATATTATACCCGATAGATTAACATTTTTTACCATCAGCTTATAAATTCTTGATTAGCAAAATGCAGGTAATCAAACTGAAAACAAGACAGTTCACACTGGTACACCTCAAAGGTTGAAAACTTACATTTACATTGTTCAATATGAATTGTGCATATGAATTGTGAAGCACACAACTCCCTCCTACAAGATTAACCAAACTGCAAAAACATCCACAGCGCACGAAGCTTGCTTATGGTCCAAACTACTTTCTTCTCTCTTTACGCAACATACACTAACAGGCGAGACAAAGTTACTGTACAACAACTGCAATATTGCGATGATTTACGATTTAGTTTTAGTTACCGGACTTGGTAATGAAAAAAAAAACTCTACACGATATCTTAAAGACACTAAACAACAGCAACTACATTTTCTCTATAGAAGCGCATACACTTTTGTAAATGCGTGCATCTATGGTCAAAACAGTTCTATTTTAATAAACAAGTATAATATTTGGCTTACATAATTTGCATTGTTATTGGAAATGCATTTCTGAGAGCAAATACGGATATTACAGTGTCCGAGGAGCATGTGTGCGTTTATTTTTACACAATCCAAAACTAAAATTCCTGTACATCTATATTTACACAAATAGTACAATACTACATGTAGATATTTCATGAACTTTGTTGTGACAAACTTCCATACTATGGAAACAGGGTTCTTGTTTAAGCAGAAAATAATGTGGAGTTATCCCTGTTGATATTTATATGCATTGTTTGATAAGCTTATAACCAATTAACCAAGCTAATTTTTAACTTTACAATGACCCAAGATGTACTGCTTGCCTTCCTTTTCAGGTTTTGTAATTGCGACGAGAGTTTGAAGATCAACATTATAACACCATTTAATTATTTATCCTTTGCATGGATCGACTAAATTGTGATGAGACTGCACTGTTACGAATAATACGAGGACTGGATGCGACAGGCAACTACTTCCAGTAGTTATCGCATACATAATTAGATAACAATACAGTTTAAGGTATTAAGTTTGGGAAGGCTTTGAATGCAAAGGGTTAAACAATACTTCAGCCATAAGTTGAAACCCTTGATATTTTATACCTAGTAGATTCAAATTAGCTTTACATTGATATATTACTGGTTTGCAGCTTATATACATAAAATTTTTTTATTGCAAGATACAGGATTATAGCTGTACTGATTACTGGTTGGCTGCACGGCGTGATATTACCATGTTAGATGTATAATGATTTTGAATTGACTGCCATTATGGCAGACAAAACACTCTGCATGTGACTCGTAACACACTGTCAACATGAGACTATTTCACCAAATCATACATTTTTATGTGCAGCAATTTTATGATGCACGCAATGATTCAATGTAGTTATAGATAACGTATATGAAAATTCTAATGCACCAATTCATTACCAATACTATCTATTATTCGTATTTGTTTATGTATTTCGAACAATGTAACAGTAATGTACTCTTTCAGTGCTGATGTCCCACAAATGCACATTTTTTTTGTGACAGATGCCATTCAGGTTTACCGTTGTCACAAAAAAATTCAAGAAAGTAGCTTTAACACATTTGAATGCCAAAGTGATGAAAAGCATCAGTATGCCATTTACATAGTTAACGAAATGCAAGTTTCCAAATATTAGCTGATATTCAGCCGAAAAATAGTCTATATCAACTATATATCTGATATTGCATCTTTTGATTTGAAAAAAATATAAATGTTAATTAAAAGCAAAAAGTGTTCAATTGTATTATGATTAAATAAGGCCAAATATGATAAATCCTGTGTTTCCAGTGACCCTACCTACCAGTATTTTTGGACAAATTAATAAGAATTATGCAAACAAGCTAGAAATTATTCATTTCTAAGCAAAATACTAATGTCATTCCACTAAAGTTGTATTTTTTTATTTCATATACATATACCTACACTTTGTTGTATAAAGGAAACACATCATCTTTAGTTAAAAATTACCTCCGTGTCATGTTCAAGCAAGGACTACGAGTACAGCTCACTGGGGAAAAATACGATTGAAAAAACCTGCTACTGTCCCAGTATTTTTAGCCAGTGAACTGGAAACACTAAATTTGTTCTATTTGGCCTAAGCCATATCTGTATATGACCAGTACTATCCAAAAATAATACAGTTCAACACATTTTGCTGGTATTCCCATGCATTTTGTTGATGTTTTAATACCCAAATTATTTGAAATTTGAATGCTCCCAAAAAATGTTTTATTTCCTGGGAAAAATTAATATAAATCAGAACCAGCAAAATAAACAAATAATAATAAATACGATATTGTATTCTGGACGACTATAGGAAAAAAAGAACTCCCAAATTAGTGAACGTTGATGGCGCACGTACGCAGCCGTCATCGAAGATTAATGAGATTTGTATCTGCCATACTGTAAAACCACGCCACAAATGAAAATAAGTCCAATACGTGCCATACCCCCAGATGCTACCCTTAAGTCGAAGCCAGCGTAAACTCACGATTATATTTCTCCTGTATCTCTTCTTGGATTTGATAGAATACCATATATTTCTCGTATTCGGCTAACTTTTGCATAAACCTGCAGCGTTCGTTGACCCAATTTCTTCTAGGCCGCCGACGATTCACTCGAGTGAGAGAAATAGCAAATATTCCACCTCAAAGCGTATTTCTCATCAGATGAAAATGCTCCAAACAAATCCCATTGAACTGCTGATTCGATCTATCGAATGGATTTAACCAGATGTAGGTAAAATATCAGTTATTTTTTAATTTGTTCTCACCTGTAATAGTACCTACCAACCACAAAATAACAAGATGGCGCCAATGGAAAAATAAACCAGTTTGTTGTTTCTTTCCTCTGACGCCACTTATCCATTGGAGGAGAGATGCTATCTTTCGCACAAACAAATGAAACATATTTCTGAGCTACAAAAACAAAAATGGCGCTTCTACTTCAACAGATACATTTATGTATCGTCCTAATATTCTTAATTTTACCATTGGTGTCTGCTGAAGACTATTCCTTAGTGTATACGACGTCCTGCGAAGATACAGAATATTTTGATTTAGCTGAACTACAGTGCAAGTCGTGTGGCCTATTTCTTGAGACGAGCGAAGATGGTAGGTCTGTCACTAGGGTGGTAACCCAATGTTATACTGGGTAACGTAACTTACGCACCGTGTTATTAAAAATTTGTATTTCTAAACTATTCTTGACAGTTAAGAAACGAAAGTGATGAAGTACTATCTTCCCGTCTATTTGTTCAATTTATGCCACCATGTCGCAGTAATGAAATGCACGTCACTACTCATTAAAGGATTACTGCAACAACCCAGGACCCTGGAGCAGTAAAAACCACAGCCATGCTAGCTGAAACTAGGGTACACACTCATTTGGGATCTGGCAATTAAATAATTTGTGGGATAATATTATTTTGTCTCATTTTACTGTACTTTTATATACAATTTACTTATTTCATGTCAGGCCTTGAACTTTGATACTTTGAAGACACCCAATTGAAATTAATAAATTGAAATATCTGACTCACTAAACTGTATTTTGATTCTGAGCTTTAAATATACTGGGTACTACTTGAATAATAGAACAGCTGTATCTAAAAATAAAAAAAATAAAAAACTGAGGATAAGTGTGCATGTACTCCAGATAGAAGTATAGAGACACTGAAACATTGACATTAAGAATAGAATACTGTAGAATACTTTATTTTTGCTTGGAATTTATTTTTGCTATTTTCGCTGAAGGGATGATTCCGTGAAAATAAAATCCAGCGAATATACTTTTTTTCCTATATTTCACATTAAACTCATCAAAAAACAGTGAAAATAAATTCCATACAAAACGCCCAAAAAGCTTTTTCAGCGAAAATTAATTCCAGCGAAAATAAAGTATTCCACAGTATGTTCTATATGTAATGTAAGTGAATTAGAAGATGAGGAGCATTTTAATCACATGCAAGCAAAATGAAAGGCAGGATTTATTTAATAAGCTAAGTATGGAAGTGATCAGACCATAATAAACCTTGCTAGAGTTACCTTACTAAGAAACCAAAATAATCTAGGCGAGTCAGAGAAATCTGTAATTTCATTGGTAACTGCTTCAAACAAAGGGCAGAAGTAATATAAAATTCAAACAACCAGTTGCCTCATAAAAAATCATAAGCTATCATTCAATATAGATTTTTTTGTTCTGTTGTGATTTTTCTTTTCTTTCTTTTTTAGCTCCGCTGTCGACTTTGTCGAGCGGAGCTTATCATATGAGTGATTGTCCGTCGTCGTCGTCCGTGTCAATGTTTTACTTTTTCGACTTCTTCTTGAAAACTACAAGCCTGAATGCTTTGATACTTGGTGTATATGTACCTTGGGTAGACCTCTCTTAGGTTTGTTCATTTCATGTTGATATCTTCAATTCTCTAATTTTGGTGAATATTTTTGTCATTTTTGGTAAAAAGTGATATTTTCGACTTCTTGTTAAAAACCGCAAGGGCAAATGCTTTGATATTACATATATAG